GGAGATGTCTTGAGTTATTCCAAATTTTTTTTTTTTTTTTTTTTTTTGCTAATTGAGTATAACCCTGTCAGAACGTTGTCATATGACTTATTTATAACGGTCTTTGGTTTCAGACGCTTCGGTTTCGGACGCTAGAAGATTCGTATGTTAAATCTTTCAGTAACTGGGTTTCGAATCCAAGTGACAAAATTTACAGCTTTGAATTTTTACCACTTGAGTTAGAAGTCATCCTGGTTTATTCTAAAGCAATCCTGGTTTATTCTAAAGCATTTTAGAGGGAAGTTTATAAACCAATCAAAATTTTATGAAAAACAATTTACAATGGTTAATGTTATACACCGGCTAAACCGGTTTATTCAAGAGAGTGTGATCCGGGATCTTGATGAGTTAATGATTTTTTTTGTCAGCTCGGCTACTCTGGAGCCGGTATCGAACTACTATTATTAAACCATATAAAATTTTAGTATGTACGCCATAGTTACCGCAAGGATTTAATAGTTAACGTTGAACCGTGATTATGGACTTAGAATATGTATTAACTAATTCGTTTTCACTTGTGTGTTTTTTTCCCTCGATTGATTAGTGATATGGTTAAAAATTTTAAAATATAAACTATAGATTTTGGTAAGGTTGAGACGGAGTCTCTACAGTAGCGTTGATATTTTCCAATTAAGATGTCATAATCAATCGTAATATTAATACACTGGACCAACCATTCATTTTAATACAATATAGACATGGGTCATGGGTGGTGTTATATATACAGCAGATACACGTAAAGAAATACTATATAATAATATAAAAGTCGAAGAAGTCGGTCCACTAATTTGCCATGCAAATTGCTTTGCTTTAAACCCACACGATTTTAAATTAGTATCGATGTGGGTCAGCATTTTTATTATATTACATTGCGAATAGGAAATAGAAGTTACATTTAGTGTTATTAATCTGTATAAAATGACATATTACTGTTGCTATTTATTTAATTAGGTGACGGGTGACGTGTGGAGAGTCGAGACTAGTAGAGTGTCGGTATTGAAAAACAAAACTTTCAAACCACGTTTTTACTCTGTATTATCTTTTCACGTTTATAAAACACTTTTTACACTGTATCGACGGAATTATAATTGAGAAAATAGTAAGTAAGAAATAAAATATGGATAGTGGTAAAGTAGCTTCAGCTAGAGTGTCGGTCCCTAACTTCAAGTTTTGGTTACTGCAGAATTTACATATAGATTATATCATCTGAGATTGAAAACCGTTCCATGGTGAACCAACTAGTGATCTTCGGATCCATATTCATTTCGATTTTTATTCTAGACCACCACGATAAAATTATGATATTCGGTTAGCAAGAAAAAACAAAGAAATAATAGAGTTTGCAACTCTTGTTAGGGTCTCAATGTCTCACTATACATTTGAATATGATGCAAATGTGCGTGTTAGCTGTAATTGATCTGAAGTAATATAATAACAATTTAGTGGTCAGTTACAAAAAAAAGAAAAAAAAAACAAATTTAGTGGTTGCAAAAGAAAACAATTCCTAACAGTTATGTAAGAAATTGATTATGTTTTACCATCTACTTATGTTTTTAATTTGTTCTTTGTGAAATAACGGTTTTAGTTTGTTAATATTTGCGTTACAAAAAAAAAAGTTTGTTTTTTCTTTTTTTTTTTAAGTTTGTTAATCACATACACATTTAGTTGTCGTTATCAGAAAAATATACACGGTTGTATTTCATGTAGATAGATAATATCGAATAGTAGCTGATTTTTTTTTTTAGCATTTTAACTTTGGTACTTGATCATGATTAAAGTCCTACCATATTCAACCTCAGCGATATATAAAAGTAGTATGCCATGATGAATTTCTTTTGTTTGCTCGTTATCCACTGACGTAGATTCGGTAATTTTGTACACATGTATTTTAGTGTAATTTTAATTTGATAGACGAGAAGAGTGTGTCGTGTACAAAGGATATTCACAAGCTGCAGAATATATTAAAATTCGTGTAATGTGAAAGGCGACAGAGCTTTGATGAGATAGCTGTCAGTCTCTGTAACGATATTGCCCATTCACTTCTGTTCTTCCACTGGAAGATTATAATGATCATGATAACGAGAACGAGCCAGCCCATTCATTTCTGAATGCATGACTTTAGTCCAGCAGTCGTATATTAGCAATTTATACAATATAAAAAGGAAAACAAAAGCAATTCTTTAAATAATAAGATAGATTCTATGATTTCGCAAAACATTACTGGTTACGAATTTAATATGACCCCTATTTTAACTCAAATCATTACAAGTTTGTTGATAATCATTTCCACCACTTTTACTCTTCTTGGTTAATTTTAATTGTCTACTATAGGCCTAGGTCTTTGGGTATAAATATGAGCTATTCGGATATCAATTTTTTTTTGAATTTTTAAAAATGAACTCACTTAGATATTACAAAAAATGAGATTAGATTTGAATCATGTCCTCTCAATTTCGGATGGGTTTGGATATTAATTGAAAGAATTAAACTATTCGATTCTAATATTTTATACCTAAACTATTTTAATTTATCTAAAATAATTAATATCCCAAAAAATTCAATATATGATTTAAATTGGTTATTTATTTGTTCAAAAATAATGGAGTGTTATTTAAGTATTTTGTATTGAAAACATCAATTTTTATCTATAAATACCAAAAATAATTAATATGTTTGATATAAAATTCTAATTTCAGGTATTACAATTATCAAAGGTATAACTATAAATAATATTATATATATATATTTATATATTTAGATATGTTTTGATATTCATTCGGTTTTCGATGCAAGTCGGATTCGATTTCGATTTTTCATCTTTCGAAAAAAAAACATTTTAAAATTTAGATTAAATTGACCGGATTTGATATTCCTGATTTTCAGATCGATTTTGAGTCAGGATTTTTGGATAAAGATATTATGTTTCTAGTAGTTCTTTTATTTTACGTTTGCAAGTCTTCCAGATCCAACAATACTTTTTTGTAGAATTCAACGATACAATATACAAAAATATCTAACAAAATTTGTGGGCACATCATCTAACGAGTAGTTGAAGAAACAACGAAAAAGCACAAAAGCAATATGTGAAATAAAAGAGAAAGGGTTCTTGGAGTTTTGGGACTAGTTAATGTGTATATAACTTATATATTAGTACAGGTTGGTCATCTGAATAGTGACATACTAAGTACTAACATTATGATTTCGTATGTATCGATCTAAAATCTTAAAATAGAAAAGCCTAAAGTAAAAAAGGGTTGGTGTTTCTTTAAAATAAGAATTATATATGAAGCTTAGGTGATGAGCTGGTTATCCTATGAAAGCAACTAATTCCACTAGATTCTTGATGTATTTTGTCTTCTAGAACATTGATCGCGACAATAAAAAAAACATAATCTTGGAAAATTTATTCACATGGCCACTGTTTGAAAACTCAAATACCCAATCCTCCACCGGGTTCTGAGGGCCCATTTCTAATTTGAAAGCCCTTTACTTGCACAGGCCTGTTTGATATATGGTGTACCCATCAACTCTGCCCGCAGCAAGCAAGACGCTATAAGAATAGCGTTTAATTCGTATAGAACAACAAAACAGAGCATGAAATCATTTGTTTGGTAAATATTACGTTTTTACCATGATGGGACGTTCAAAATTTTGTGCCACTCAAAATTCGATAATCAAATTTAAATAAAAAGAGTAAGAAATTGTGGATGCATTAAAATGAAGTAATATATAGAATGTTGTTGATATTATCGATCTTTCTTATGACTAAAAACAAAAGAACATTGGAAAGACAGAGGGAATCAACAACAGCTACGACAACTAGCTTGCCATTTTCTCCTAACGCACAACAAAAGTATAAAGTCACTTAGTCACGCATGATAATTTTGCAAGCTAATACATTATTTTGGGTACTATGTATATTGTTATTTTAAAAAGAAGATGTCAGTGTTCTTGTAGTGATGGATTCGCCGCGTGGACTCTTGTTATTCTCCCAATATAAGTTTCGACTCTCAGTGACCTCCTCTCAACCCACGCACGAGTCTTTTCTTTATCTAAATAGAAGAAAAGTTATGTTCTCGTCATACAGACTAGCTAGACATATATAACAGTATGTTATTAAGAATTAGGTAGACTTATCTTGGAGATTAGTTTGAGTTATTCCACAGGTCCGGAATATCCCAAATTAATAAAAGATAATACTTAGGTAGATTTTTTTGATACATGAACATTATATATATATAAGATGCTTAGTTTGTAAATAACCTAATAACTTAAACGTGCATAATTACTTTTTGTTAGTTATATAATAATTCTCTTTTTTTTTTTAAAAAAAACTTTCATTTAGTAGCGAGTTGTATAATAATTCTCACGTTTGCTTATGTATGCACTTTCTATTTATAAAGATGACCAATAACTATTAACTTTATTCCACCAAATTATTGACAATAATAGAAAGAAAATGTGAAGATAAATAGTATTAGATGATTAAAAAGCATTTTGCACTATAAGAAACGCATGAATACATATGGTCACCACTACTG